TTGCTAGTGTTGCGACTGCTGCTTTTCTGTTGATTCTGCTTTACGCGTTTCCACTTTGACAGGGAGCGGGATTGGGAGTAGAAACAACAACGCGTTTGGGGAGTATCATGTCATTGAAGCTGGAAATCGTGTGATATTAGTTCAAGTTTTAAGAACCGTGACAAAGAATGTTTCCCCTGAGAATGAGCTCGACCGTGGTGGATTCGGATTTTTTATAAGGGAGAGTTGAACGACGGGACTAAGATTGCGGTAAAAAGAATGAAAGCAGGTGCGATAACCAATAAAGCCTTGGATGGAAAGGGAAAAGAAGAAGATCAAGAAGAGGGAAGATGAAGAAGATCTGAATTTATTAAAAATAAATTGAAATAAAAATAGAAAATCCATATGGAATTTAAAAATATAGAAATTAAAAAAAGCGACATAATGCATGACACGTCAAACATTCTGATGATTGGGTATCATGAGGGACTAAAACAGTGGAATCTTTAAATGACAGGGTGGAAATCTAAAATTTTTTACGGGGGATTTTTTCAAATCTCGCCTAAATGGCAGGGGGGAAATGGCTATTAACCCTAAAAATAAATGATGTTTTGAATTGGATAATGTAACTAGGGTTTTAAGGTTTAGATGGAGGCGTCATCTTCTCATTTGGTCATTTTGGATGTTGCTAGTGCTAGAAGCATTACCAACAAGGATATATGGGACTTTATGTTGTATAGAGAGAGAAGGTGCTTAGACAAAAGTCTAGGTGCAGATGGATTTTAGAGGGGTGCGAATTCTAAATCCTTTCATCGATTCATGAAAGGAAGATTTAGAGGGAATAATATTCTTGTATTAAACTCGAAGGTTGGTAGACTTGAGGAGGTTGCGAAGATCAAGTTAGAAGTTTTGAATCATTTTAAGAATCATTTCTCAGACTCGTTTCCCACGCGGCTGGCCATGGATGAAGTGTCTTTCAAACCCCTTTCGGAGGTTGATCGAGCCTTTCTTGAAGCTCCTTTTTCGTTTGAAGAGATTAAGATGTGGTTTGGTTGAGTGATTGTGATAAAAGTCCGGGTCTAGATGGGTTTCCTCTCGGTTTTTTCAAAAGATGTTGGACGTTAGTGAAAGATGAGTTGGTGACTTTCACTCATGAGTTCTTTGTTCTTGGAAAACTTCCTAAAGCCATTACTGCTTCTTTTATAACTCTTGTTCAAAAGTCTGACAATCCTCAGAGTGTTGATGAGTTTAGGCCTATTTGCTTGGTTAGTTTGTTTTATTGTCTAATCACAAAGTTGTTAGAGGCTAGGTTGAAAGTCGTTATTGGGAAATTAGTTGCCCCTTCTCAAACGACTTTTATTGAAGGAAGACATGTGTTGGATGGTGTATTCGTTCTTAATGAGATTCTTGATTATGCTAAAAGGATGCGGAAGAAATGTATGGTGGTTAGAGATAATTTTGAGAAGGCTTACGATTGTGTTTTATAGGGTTTTCTCTGTCAAGTTCTTTTGAGAATGAATTTTGGTCATAGATGGATGTCTTGGATGAATGCTACAGTTTTTTCTAGCTCCTTATCTATCTTGGTTAATGGTAGTCCTACGAAGATTTTATGGCTACTAGAGGTCTTAGACAAAGAGGTATGCTTTCTCCTTTTCATTTTCTTTTGGTGGCAGAAGGCTTATCGGGATTGATGTGTAATGTGTTGACATCCGAAAGTTTTAAGGGGTTTCATTTTAATGATCTTATTCACTTTGAAATGTTATAATTTGCGAATGATACGGTGCTTATTTGTGATGGGTCGGGGTCTAATTTATGGTGCATCAAGGCCATGTTGAGGGGGTTTGAGCTTGTTTTGGGTCTTCACATTACTTTAAATAAAAGTAAGATCTTTTGTGTTCATTTGGATAACTTGATTTTGGAGGCGACATTGAACTTTTTATCTTGTGAGATTGATAAGCTCCATTTCATGTTTCTTGGTATTCTGTTGGAGGCTAATCATAGGCGAAAGGAAACTTGAGCTTTTATTCTTTCTAAACTTAGGAAAAGATTTGCTTCTTGGAGTGGTAAACATTTGTCGTTAGGTGGTAAGGTTTCTCTTCTTAATTCGATGCTTAATAATATTCTCATCCATTTGCTTTCTTTTTTTAAAGCCCTGAAAGGTGTGGTTGGTGAAATAATCAAGATTTAAAGGGATTTTTTGTGGGGTAATAGTAAGTAGAGCGGGAAGGTTTATTGGGTTAATTGGGAGAGGATTTGTCTTTCTAAGGAGGGTGGAGGTTTATGAGTCAAACACATTGGTTTTATCAACCATTCTTTGATTTGTAAGTGGGGTTGGAGACTTTTGTCAGAAAAAAGAAGCGATTTGGTCCAATATTTTACATTTTAGGTATGGTGATGGTTGGGGAATTTTTTTTGGTATTGTTGCTAATCGCGAGATGAAGAAGTCTTCTCTTTGGTGAAGGGATGTTTTTAATTACAAAATTGATGTTCATTTGTGGTTTTCAAATTGTATCTCGTTCAAGTTGGGAAATGGTGAATTCATTAACTTTTGGGATCATTGTTGGCTAGGTATGGTGGCGTTCAATGATCTTTTTCCGCTTTTGTTTGATTCTTGTTCCTCATCTTGTTCTAAGGCGGCGGAATTTGGCTTTTGGGTTGATTCAAGTTGGAATTGGGACTTGGGCTTTGTAACCGAAGCATTTTTGGGTGAAGTAAGAGATGAATGGTTGATGTTATCTTCTATTTTGCGGGATGTTAGTCTATTGGTGGATGAGATAGACAAGGTAGTTTGGTGGAGGGATAATGATGGTTTTTTGGTGAAAATTTGTTATAGGAGGATTTGTGACTTGAAAGCAAACATTTTTGTCTTGGATGAGGGGTATAGGTGTCTTGAACCGTGTTTGGAAAACTTTTATTCCAAATAAAATGAAGTTGTTTGGTTGGAGATTTCTTCTTAAGGGTTTACCTACTAGAAGTGAATTATGCAAGAGAGGTATGGATTACTTGTTGAATAATTTATTTTGTCCTTTATATGAGGTGGAGGAGGAGGAGGAGTCCATTGGTCATCTTTTTATTTGTTGTAGCAAATCCGAGGGTGGAGGTTTTTAAGTGGTTATCCGGTGATTCAGTGATAGGGATTGAAGCGAATATGGGGTGGTTACATGCCTCGGTTATTCATATCCTTTCGAATCTCAAATAAAGGCTTTGTAAGGTTATTAAACCTTATTTTTTCGATTTCTTTTGGTTACTTGTTTGTTGGTGCATTTGGTTGGATATGAACAATGTTGTTTTCAACAATAAGGATCGGAATGGTGGTGATACTTTGTTGTTAGTTAAGACATTGAGTTGGGATTGGTTCTCCTTGTTATCGAAAGAAGTGTGCAATTGGGATAAAGACACTTGGTTTACCAATCCTAGGATTTATGTTGGTTTATAATTGTCTTCCTCTTTTGATGTTTCTCCTTGTATTGGATTAACACCCTTGTTCTTCTTAATATAATTTTGCTTATAAAAAAACTATCAGGTACCTATGGCCTTAGCCTACACAAGCCTAGATCAGACCAGACTTTTTTTAAATAGAAAAGACTCAGGTTTTCTTATAACCCTATTTATCTAAATAGATATGCCACATACCATAAAAAACCTCTTAAGCCTATCAGGCCAATCTATTTTAATAAATATAAAAAAATTATTATTTTTTATATTATATTTTATACTTTATATTAAAATACAAAAGTAAAGTTTAGTTATTTTGAAGAACTTGTGAAAATAAGTTGAAAAAACCTTAGGAATAATGTCATAAATTATTTTCATAAGTTATCCCCCAACAAATAATCTCACAGAACTTATTACTATGTAAGTTCAAATAAGTCAATATAAACAAACATTTAGTCTCATTGTACTTTTGATTCTCTAGTATATTTAAACATTAATGGAATTACTTATTTACATATGTTCAAATGATATATGATTTTTAAGCATGTTAATAGGCTAATCAGACTTTCGAAAAGACCAAACTCAAGATGCGTTTTAATATTCGTTGCTCTGATTCGTAACACTAGGTGAGCGAACGCTATGTTTTATTGTTTATCATTACTTTTGAGTTGTTGTTGCGGGAGTTAAATGTTATAACTTTGAATGTTATGTGTTTATTTGATAGATGAAGACATTTTTCCGTAACTAAGTTTTATGCTTTCAAAAGAAGAGTTATTATGAGATTTAATATGATTGTTGAGTTATTTTAATTCAGCTGCGATGAGTCTATGTAAAGACGAGCATGTGATGACAAGTTTTTATATTATATTATGTTTTATTTAACACGTGTTACGGAGGTTTGTGTTGTGTTTGAGTGATACCCTATGTGAATAGTTGTTTAAATTTATATTATTAGGCGTTACAATTTCTGTGTGTTACACAATTTCAAAGATACTAATTATTGGGTTGAAGTTGATTCTTATTTTTAGCGCAAGATATTTTTTGCTTGTTCTTCAAGAAAGAAAACAAAGTCTTATTTGAAACAGTTTAATCACTGAATTGAACTAAACTAGTGGAATATGTTTGTTTTGTGAAAATGTTTTATTTTCTTCCTTATTTTCAAGCTAGAATATACATCAAGACCCTACTAGTGTACATGTGGATGATGGAGAGTTTGGTTAGCCGTGTGTATCATGATTAGAACTATTGGTGTTTTAGAGTTATGATTTGATGATTATGGTTCATGTTAAACCTCAAAAGTGTTTCTTGAAGAACAAGCAACAGTATTATGCATCTCAATTCAAGAAAAAAAATCCTGTGTGCATTAGAAAGTCTGCTAAAGTATTTGTCTAAATGTTTCCAGAAAGGAAAAACGCCATCTTCTCCCGTTACAACTCGACTACAGTCGATAAACATATCACTGAAACAAAAGTCAAAAACCAACAACAGAGTAATTTTCATGTCTCTTCAGAAAACAGCAACAATGTTTACAGCAAGTTATGCCAAATCTCACCATCTACATGTTTTATTTCTGTTTCTAATTTATATCAAAGTTTACGGCAAGACTCAAATTGCTGAAATAAAGGACTCAACTTCAACCCAATGATCCGAGTCCCTGTGTTCGAGTGTCTGAAAAACATATCTGTTAACTGCAAAAAAAAAGTACATAACATTCAAAATCTTCCCCAACAAAGCAGATAATTCCTTCGTATAAAGACTCGACGAATTCATGTTTATATATTTCTTCATGAGCATGTCAAATTGATCACTGAAAACGCCTTTGGGAGAGTTTTATACCTGCGAGCATCCGAAAACTTTAAGTGACCTCAGCGACAAGCAGCTATCGACAATTAAACCAAGCTCATTGTCAGACAGATTTCGACACCATGATAGATCCAAGGTATGCAAATTTTGGCCATTCTTTACTAGTGATGAGGCTGTCAATAGGCCAACCTGGATTAAACCAAAATGTGACAGACACTCAAAAAATTTCATAGGATTTACAACATACTACAAATTTCTAAGCCAATTGAGAAAATATGTAATACATTACCTTGTTAATGCTATTAAGTGAAAGTTCTTCCAAGGTTTTGCCAGCTAACTCCAAAAATACCGAAATTGCTTCATCGCTGTAACTTAAAAAAGTTAAAAGTAGTATTATTAAGTAACAGGAGTTTAGGATACCAAAAGCAATACATCAAAAAGTACAAAAATTCCACCTGAATGGATTGCGGCAGAGCTTCAATGTACGCAATCCTCGACAATTATTCGCAAGATATTCAATGGATAAATCCGTCAATTTTCCCAAGTTCATAATATCAAGCACGCGCAAACCAGGACAATTTTTAGCAATGACTCTAATGGACGCATCTGTCAAATTTCTGCACAACAAGAAATTTAATCAGTACTTTTAGCAATACGCGAAAAAATAACGAATCTTACTGATAAACTTTACTTACACACAGTCCTTTAAAACAAGATCCTTAATGTTGTGACCGCACGCGATGAAGTAACTCTTAATAAACTTATACGAAACAGATGGAACACCGGCTAGTGACAAAACTTCTAATTGTTTGAATTGCTTCAAGGCAGGCAAAATCCGCGCAACATCAATGAGTATGCAATCATCAATTCGCAACTCTTTCAAAATTGATCCTAATGAATCAGCCAAAATTTCAAGACTAGAATAAGTGAGAAGTGAACACTGGCTTAGGTTTATGGATCTAAGTTCGGTTGCAGACGAAACTAGTAACCGCAATCCTTCATTCGTAAGACGACATGCACCAGTAAGCGATAGAATGGTTAAGTTAGACAAGGAGTTTGGTGACTTTGCCAATGTAGCAGGTAATGTATATTCACTCATAAATCTTCCACACTTGTCAAGTTGCAGCACCTGTTTGATAAATAAACGTATAAACACGAATTCGAATATGAAATAATGAAACAATTAAACTTAATGAACATACCCCGATTTCAGAAGTGACCAAAGTTCCGAAATATTTAGTAAACTCTTCTTCTGTCAACCACGAACAGTCTTTAAGCCGAATTTGAGTAGGAACATCAGCAAGAAGTAGTTCAAGAAAGTGACTGTTCATTTTTCTTGAATCACACAGCAGATTACTAAGCCTGTGTCTGAGCTCGTCGCAGACACAATCGAGCGAAACGATTGCGTCAGAATGCTTAGCAAGAATGTAAACAGTCAGTTCTTGCAATGATGGAACATACAACCTTCTCCTAACCGAATCTTTTCCGTTTCTTTTTGGAATCCATACAGGAGGTTCTTCAACAATCCCTCTTTTATGGTTTCTCTCGGCGCGATCTTGAATAGCCTTGATTGCTTCAGAGAATGGAGTTGGAGAATCATCATCAACTTCATCAACTTCACCTTCCACATCATCATCATCGAGTTTATCCGCGGCATTGCTCACAGCATCATGAATGCGTGCTGCATATCTTCTTGCATTATGAACGCGTGCTGCATATCTTCTTGCGATATTCTTGTTATGCTCCTCTTGCTGATTTGTAGGAAACAATGTCAATGTCCGCGCGACAATGCGTCTATCATCATCACTTTCAGTTTCAGTTTCACTTTCACTGTCATGTTGAACTTCCTCATCACTGTCAGAGATAACGATGGTTTCGCGTTTTGGTTCGTCGAAAGCGGCTAAAAAATCGTGCGTTTTGATGCGTTTGGAAGTATCATAAGCTTCTGGAGGCAAAAGACCGAGGTAATATGCATCAGTATCATCTTCCTGTTCAAGTAGTCTCTTGCGAAGAGCAGGAGAACATGGGTGTTCTTGATTATTTTGATCGGTTGGATCCATTCTGGTTGATTGATCAAAGATTAAAATGTTAAAATATTCACGGGTTTTGTTGCGGAAAGAAAGAAGAAGATAGAGAATAATATAAAGGGTTTTGCTACAAACTAGCTTGAGGATTTGGAATGGTAGCAAAAAGAAAGAAAATAGCGAGAGAAACGGTTGTTTCTGTTGCCAATAACATAAACTTCTTCCTTATATTATAAAACTATCTCAATTAATATTTTGTTTTACACATTCAATCAAATCAATAAAATGTATTAATTTTTTTAAGACTATTTTAAAATATCTCAATAAATATTTATTTGATATGATTCAATTATGTATTTGTATTCTTTTCTTCAAATAGATTAATTGCAATGTATTGTCAGTGTAAAATTCTTTACACAATCGGTATATTATAATCATTTATAAATATTATTTTATAAATAATAAAAATAAAAATATTTAACTACAACGATTTACTGACAATGTAAAATTAATTTACACTATCACTGAATATTGTTGGTGCAAGGTGATGAAATTGAGGAAGAATGGAGAAAATGATGAATGATAAAAGCTGCTACAAATAATTACAAAATGGATTGTGTTTTTAATTAATGAAACCTAGTACACCTATTTATACACAAAAATAGTAAAGATAAGAATGTCACATAGTCCCTAAGAGAGAATATTTCAAATATAGTAAATACTAAATTACCCCTTTAATATCATCCCTTAATTTAGTATCTATTAGAAACTAACAACACCAATTTCATTTCTCAAATGAAGAAATTGGTCTGCTTTGATTGCCTTCGTCAGAACATCTGCCAGTTGTTTCTGGGTGCTATAGTGCAGAACTTATAACACTCCTTTCTGCACTTGACTTCTCAGGAACTTTTACCTACAGACGTTTGTTCGTAGCTATAACCATGTTCATCTCAAAAATTGCATACAAGCAATATAAATGAAATTGGTGACCATGAATCAACTGGGCTTGAAGCCCTGATCATCATGGTACCTGTTGTACCCCAAAATTTTCCCTCCCATATTCTTCAAGATTTATCAAGAATCATCTTCAAATGGTTCAAGATTGACTCAAGGATTGCACAGTCAAACCACCTCCTAAGCCAGCCAAAATTAGGGTTTTGGTTCTTTCAAGGACTCTGAGGTTTTCAATGGCTCAATCAAGTCTCATAGGCCTATATACATTCTCAAGCACCTACATGCCAAGTTTCAAGACTCACATTGCCCACTTGCACAGTCAAAAGCTCCATTTGCTTCACAATCAACTGCAGGGGGCAAAATGGTCATTTTGCAGTCAAAAGTCAGAATTTTTGGTCAACATCTTATTTTGAGTCCACAATCATCATTTGATCAAGTCTTGATCATGATTCCACAAGGATAACTCAAAAATCATCAAGATGCAAAAAGTTACTATTTTTGGACAGCAGAAAAAGTCAATTGTATCTTGACTAGGGCATAACTTTTTCATGGTTCATCAGAAAAATCCCATCCAATGCTCATTTTTAAGAGGATGACATTTCCTACAATCCATCTTCACATTCCAAGTCCAAGAAATGCTCTCACAAAAAGTTATCAATTTCTACATTATAGGTCAATTTCAAAAGTCAACAAAAATGCACTTTAAGTCAAAGACCATAACTTGAGATTGGTAAATCCAAATGACATGGGACCAAAGGCATTAGTTAGAGGACTTCAAGACCTTTCCAAAATGTCCAAGAACATGTTCATATGATCAAAATTGAGCAAGATATACATTGGAGAAGTTGGGAAATTTTTGTGAATTTGCAAAAGTCAACTTTGCTCAAAACACTTTGTTTTTGCTAATGGGCCTCAAATTTCTTCTTGAAACTTTATCCAAGGCCTATGCACGACCCATTAAGCTTAAATTGAATTATTTTCTTATTTTTTATTAATTAATTGGATTTTTAATCAATATTAATCCATTTAATTCATTTAATTGTAGGAAAATATAAAGATATGGTTTTCCAATCTTTTTGTGAAGCAAGAATGACCTAAAAGAGCTGGCAAATTCGTGTATCAATTAAGGATATCAAAATCTCCCAATTTAGCAACTTTCTTCAATCAAAAAGATCCAAAAATATTTGATTTTCAATCAAATATACAATCATCAATTCCACGGATTTCTTGGCAAAGATTTGACCTAATTCTATTCTACTATAAGTACACAAGCCAACCCTAATGCCACATACGAGAATTTGCTGCAGAAGAAGCCATAGCAACATTAAAAAAAACTCAAGAAACTTGAAAACTGTTTTCTATCTTCCAGGCTAATTCAAGGACTTTGGTTGTTTCCAACACATTGCTGGAAGCGTCAGGGACGTGTTGCAATCGAAACCAAGCGCTAAAGCTCGATAAACCCTCAAGAACAGTCTCACGGTTTGGCATTTTTTCTCATAATCGTAACTCATATTTCAGGCATAATTAACATGTTTTAATAATTGTTTTGTGTTGCTTGAATTCATATAAAGCTAATGGTATTAGTTAATTGCATTATAATGCCCAGAATCACAAGTTACCATTGAAGAATTCTAGGGTTCTTCAGTTCTCAAATTGGGGCTTTACAGTCCAGTAAAAATTAGCACCTCTAAGGCATATGGTTGAAACCGCCAGGACAAGACGAATGCACTGGACTATTCGCGAAATATTTATATAGAGCACAGCTCTATTCGCTATTTTTGGTCATCCTTGTTTTGTGGGGGTTAAAAACCCCCGCTATCTAACACGTATTCTGCAGGTTCAGCGAGGAAGATGACTAGGTGGTGACATGCCATTGGTTGGTTCAAAAAGCGCGCGCTTGTTTTTTGTGTTTACAGCATAGTGATTAGTTTTGATATATTATATTTGTTGCTTATCATAATATAAAAGCGTGCAAGTTGGTGGAGTGGTTGGCCAGGTGTTCAGTAGGCGTTGGGACCTGGGTTCGAATCCCAGGTCCCCCAAATAATTGTTTCTATTTTTTCTTAACGTGATCTCATGCAGGCTTCAAAAAGTAGTCTATCATGCATTCCAGGCATCCAAGCGCCAAGTGGCCACAGCCACAAATCCAATGGCCATGAGATGCTGACCATGGTACTCCCAGTCAAAGCATGCGCTGGACAATCAAAGAAAGTCAACAAGGCTTGTGTACAAATGGGCCAGAATTTCCAGATTAACCTCCTAAATGGGCCAGTACACCCCCTGGGTTCTTCTTTTCTTTTCTTTTTCTTTTATATTCTCTTTTAATTATTTTACTAACTATTAATTATTATTATTATTATTTAATTAACCCAAATTATTTATTTTCATAATAACTTCAGAAAATTAAAAATGTAAATATTATTATTATTATTATTATTAATTTCACCTTAATTTAATTATTTTGTAAATAAATTCTAACAAATTAATTTAGTTAATTAGGATAAATTTAACTATTTTTTGCAATAAATAAAATCCATGTAGAATTAGGTTTTGACAACTTTTTTAATCATGTTTCCTTTTTTTTTATTTCATTAAAAACATTAAAAAGCTTAAAAACTATTTCTTTTATTTAATTAATTAGAATTAGGTTTAATTAATTGCAAAAAAGACCAAAATTCCATTCTTTCTCAACAAGGGTCAAAACCCTAAGGACTTTTTCCGATTCAATTTCTCGCGTGCATATTATTTTGATCATATTTATGTATTTGCTCCGAGGATGTAATAGGTAATTAGGACCCTTTTTATCGCTTTCTTTATTTTCTCGCAATTTACTTTTCAAGGGTTATGTTTTTGGCGATGTAAATACCCGACGCCTTGTAATAGTTAGATTTACTTTCCGCAATTTACTTTCCGCACAATTATTAACTGTTAACTATGCATGACAAGACTTGCCTGAAAATTAAAATCAACTCGTAGCTCACCATAATACATGTGCAAAGATAATATGAATTGAAACCTGACACACGTGCACATGCCACTCTTAGGGTACGCCTCACTTGGTTGCCTCGACGTGGTCATTGAGTATAGGGTGTTTTAGAGGTCGCTCTCTTGTCTAAAAGATCCAGTTGCCTCGAAACAGTTGCCTCGGATAAAAAAGGATCTAGGACATTAGGGTTACCGCTAAGGCGTCCTACTATTGCTTTGGTGACCACACATGTCCCTATAATCGAATTGACCCGAATAACTCCAACGACGGTGCTACCTACTTCTCAATAGTGGGATAGTACTGTCTAAAGGACATTTACACAGCTTAATTCCTTAGAGTAGGTAGATTTATCCTGGGTACTTGCTCTTTCAAAACAAAAACCACTTTTCGCACTTACACTTTTTCAAACAAAGTTTTCAAACAAACACTTCATGACACTCTTGAGGAGTGATACAAGAGTTAAACAAAGTCTTCCAAACAAACTTTTTCAAAACCCACAAACACAAGAAAAGCAAACATTTTTTGAAAACATAGTGAGCAAGTACCTAAGAGCCCGTGGATAACCACAGATAGAAAGGGTGCTAACACCTTCCCTTTCTATAATCTACCTCCCGAACCGAGAAACATCTCGAAAAGGAATTTTGTTGTGCTTTTGTCCTTTCCTTGTTGGAGAAAATAAAAGACGGTGGCGACTCTTGCTTACCGCGACATTTCGCGAACCAGCATTCCAAAATAGTCAGTTCTATTTCCACCGATCACAGTACCCAATATGAGAGCCAATTGTTCCTCCATTGAAAACCCCTAAAATAAACTCGTAAACCCTAGCAATGGCATTACGTGATTCCTGTGCAGAAACTCAAATTAAAGCATTCAAAAACGTTGCAAGCATGACAATAAACATGGATATGTGATTAAAATAGATTTATGATGCGTAAATCAATGGATTCAAACTTTAAAAAAAATGAAAACCGTGATATCTCTAGGGGCGATTTCTGGATGCTTTGAGGCTAGCAAATGATGTTGTTAACTTCCTGAGATGTCCAGGGATGGATTAGAAGCCTTGGAATGGTTTGAACTGGCATGTAGACAAAGATAG